ACTCTGCTGCCAGCTCTTGGAGTGTGGTAGAGTTGTTCTGCTGCACTTTGGACAGGAGACGTGTCCGGATATCAGCATCCTTGGGGGACTGGAGGCCGCAGATAAATATAAGGCATTTAAACTGGTCTTCAGTGAGAGAACCGAGTTGGAAACGCCCGCACTCACGATTAACAATGCCCGCGTACGTGATGAAATCATCGGAATCTCGTTTGCACAATTGCAAGCACTGAAATCGAGTGTTGAAGAGAGATGATTGCTCACCAAAAATCTGCGACAACGTCTCGACCGTGTCCTTGAAAGCGACTTCCCGGGGATTCTTGGGAAGGATGAAGTTTGCATAACGCTCGTGTTCAGCCGGACCCAGTTTGCAAAGTAGAAGTCGAACCTTCCATGCATCGTCCTGGGCAGCCAGATCGACAGAGAACAAGTCCTCGTATCGCTTGTACCAGGAATCAAAGGTGATATGGGCCTGCGGGTCATACAAGAATTCGGTGATGCTGTCGGCAATGTGATCAACAGATTGTGAACCACCAGCCGCGCTTGATTGGCCCATGGATGAATTGGATAGCTTGACGGTCAGAGCCTCCACCAGCTTCAGCTGCTGCTGCAACATCTGCTTCAAGTCTGCGTACTCGTCAGCCATTGTAGTTGAGAAACTGCGTCGACAATTTGTTATGACCCGCCTGGTACTTGAAATCCCGCGGAGCGTATTCGCACTCGACCCTGGTCCCCAATATCAAGGCAGCAGACAAGAACACACGGCTGGCCATGGAACGTGTCTTAGCAAACACGTATTAGCAAGTCAAGTCTAGCTAAGGATGACGCATATTTATCACACGCTAGCGTGGTTCGCCGGCACTCGGTCCAATGACCTTCGGGAAGAGGGGAGTAGCCAATGGGAAAGCGCCTGATTGAGATGACAGCGCGGTAGAGAGAGAGAGCAAACGCAAGTGATCTCCATTGATTGGTTTGCTCTTGTTTTTGGGAGTGTAGGCACTCCCAACAAAACTTCAATGTCCGTCGAAGACAGCTGAGGTGAAAGTGATTAAGCCTCCGCGCCTGCTTCTTGTACACCGTCCGGGACTCCGTTTCATACAGCGGCGTCGGTGTAATGACTGCCCTGTACACCTTCAGCTTCGTGTTGAGACGGAGCCCATGACGGTTCCAGACGTTGGTCCCCAGACGAGCGAAGGCTTGGCTGACTCCGGCCATTTTATTATCGATTTTGGTGCTGCAAGTGAGGATGCTGTCCAGGTAGAGGTAATTCTTCACGACTTTCAGTTGGGCGCTGTTCACGTTGATTGGGGAAGCGACAAGGGCAGCATCGGATGGCGGTCGATGCACAACTACCGTCCTCTGCGTGTTAATGACCAGAGCGAAGTTCTCGCAGGCGGCGGAGAACAGGTCCATGCTCCGTTGCATCTCCTCTTTCGAGGTGGTGTTCAGGGCGCAGTCGTCGGCGATGAGAAGTTCATGAACGGTGGTTGTGGATACGCGCGATTGGAAGTGCATCCGCCATTGATTCAGGAGGTGACCAGTCGTCCTGGTGGCGATGCGGATCCCGGGGCGTTCGTCGCGGTGGGCGTCCATCAGAATGGCCGAGAACATAAGACTGAAGAGGGTAGGCGCCAGTACGCAGCCCTGCTTCACTCGGTTGGTCACTGCAAGTGCCTCTGAGACAGCTCCATCGTCCGTGACGCGCGTTATCATGCCATTGTGGATCTAACGCACCATCCGAGTGAGTCGTTCGGGACAGTCGAATTTCTGCATGATTTTCCACAGTCCTTCGCGATTCACAGAGTCGGAGACTTCGTCAGATCCACGAAGGTAGGGTAAAGGTGGATTCGCAGTTCCTGACATTTCTCCTGCAGTTAGCGGGCGGCGAAGTTTATGTCCGTATTTCCACGATGACGGCGGAAGCTGAACTGACTTTCCGGTTGAGAAGGAAGCGAGTGGAAATGTATCCGGCGATGTTCAGCAGGTAGGTGCCTCGGCGGTTGTCACGGAGATGCCAGCTACCCTTCCGCTTATAGAGATGTGCAGTTGTGGAGTCCTTGAAATCATTAGGGACTTCTTCTTGACGCCACATTTTGTGGAAGAGCGTCGTCAGATGATGCATGAGTTGGAGGCCATCGTGCTTGTAGATCTCAGCAGGGAGCATGTCCGATCCGGGCGCTTTCCCGCTCGAGAGTTGTTTAAGGGCTGCTAAACGGCCCTTATTATTTCGTGGATAGAGAACGGGAGGTTGAAGTCGGCGTTAATCTGCACTTGAGACAGGGGGCCGATGGCGGCGTCGGAGATGGTGGAGGGGTGGTTGTGGACGCCTCGCTGTAGGATTCGTGTTTTCTCAGTAAGATGGGCACTACCGCCAGCATTGAGAAGAGAAGCAGTTGCATTGGTTGGTAGACCGTGGACAGTCTTGATCACGGTGAAGCACTTTTCCATTCGTCGCGCTCCGTGTACCCTTGGATTTCCTCTGTCTTGAGAACCCTACAGGCGTCTTGCGTCCCGCACAGCCGGTGTTTCACAAGCGGGCGATGACGGTAGACAGCAGTTCTGTTGTGGCCGGTGGGGAGGTCGATGAAGGCTTTGTGCAAGCGGTTCTTCTCGGCGAGCAGGTTTCCAATGGCTGCGTCGCTATAATCGAACCGGTTCTGGTGCTGGCGTCCTGCGCGACCGAGGACAACCAGAGCCGTTGACTGCACTGTGTCCCGCAGTTGACACCATTGGTTCTTCATAGGAGCATCCTCGTCGGCGGCGACTGGAAGGTTGGCTAGCCTTTGAGCCAGGTCATTGCTGAAATGCAGGTGGTGAGCTGGCAGAGACAACAGAGCAATATTCAGCTTACCTCGGGGGTGCTTATCTTGAGGCCTCCTGCGATGCTCTAGGCGAATTCGAATCTCGGAGATGGTTAGGCGATGGTCGGCCCACCGATCAGCACCCGGAATCTCCTTTGTCACCAGCACGTCCCGCTGGTCACGCCTCAGTATGAAGAAATAATCCATTAGATGCCTGCTTCGCAACCGAGGATGCATCCAGTTTGCATTCGCTCGCATTGGGAGGCGGAAGTAGGTGTTGGTCAGAAGGAGTCGGGGTTTACCGCAGGTTCGTAGGAGGAGCGGGCCATTGTCAGTGGAGCCTTCGAGACGATGAGGATCCAGCACTCCACCTCAGGCAGCATGGTCTGTGCCAACGCGGGCGTTGAAGTCACCAAGGACAATTAACTTATCCGCCTCCGGCACAGTCGATAGGAGTGCGCGAAGGTTCTCGTAGAATTTGTTCCTTGCGGCGTCAGGGCTTGTCATCCGGGGGGGGGGGGAGGTGGCGCAGACGCTGACGATGGTGGCGAATTTGGCTCTTTGGAGAGGCAGGCGGAGGCTGAGCAGGTGATCGCTGTTGTCCTGCGGCAGACCGGGCGTTCGTCCACCAATGTCGTTCTGGATGACAACGGCGACGCCCCGTCCTGTCGCTCTGCCCTGGAGCGACCGCTCCAGAAGGTGTAGCCAACATCCACTTCCTCTGGTCGGCTTTGTCCGGAGAAGCCGGCCTCGTTAAGTGAAGCGATTTCCACCTTGTACAGCGCCAGTTCCCGAGCGACTGGTACCATCTTCCGTTCCGCTCGGTTGATCTTTGGAATGCCTGAGAGAGAACAAACATTCCAGGCCGTCAGAGTAAGCGAACTTGCCCTATCTGTCTGGCTAGTTTGGCGGCGGGGAGGATGAGGAGGAAGAGAGAGTGTTAGTTAGGATTTAATTGCTCCGACTGTGATTTTTGCGTCTGCGGCCACTGTCAGCCTACAGACGGCGTGAATTCCCAGCATTTGTTTAGAGCATCTTTTTTGGCCTTTTCTTCCTCCCGGGAGTGAGCAGTGCTATTCCTAGATAGGTCTGCTCTGTTCTCCCAGACTGCTGCCGAACTCTACTACGGGCCACGACTATCGTTTAGTGGGAGAGCGACCCAAATTAGCCTGGGCCTGCCTAAGACAAGGCCGCTGGACTTAAAGAGGGATTGAAGAAGGGTAGAGAGACGGGATGCAGAGCTTCCTCATCCCTCTCTAAGCTAAATAGTTGTTTAAATATAAACAATGTGCAGAAAAATTCAACAGAACAGTATTTAGCTTACAATAAGGACAAACACAAACAAGCTGACAATTCAAGCCGGTAGGAACAGCAAAAGCAAAGACAGCAGAGGATATTCAACAGAAGGGCATTTTTCTCCAACAAGAACAAACACATACAAGCAGACAAATAGCAATCCAGCAGAGCGATGTTCGATCACCTGGACGGGAACATACCTTATTGTCTCCTGCGGTGTCGCAGACGGAGTCACGTCTCGGAGATGTCGAGGAAACGGTCGCCGGAGTCGTTTTACCGTGCGCCCAGATGAACACACGGATATCCTTACCTGGATAGCCCGCCGGTTGAGGCGGTTACCGGGGTGTGACCACTAGGCAGAGCCTAGCTTTGATGAGCAACATGTGAGAGTTGGGTGCCAGTAAATTAGCGCTAGGCGTAGTCTACACCTGCGAGCAGTTGGGCGGCCTACTACGACCGTCCAAACAGCTGTTGTGACTTGCGCAATTCAGCAAGTCGGCGGCGTTTGCTCACAACCAATAATATTCTGTTGGTGGCCCGGTGTTGCATGCTTAATACAGCTGAATTCAGAATTTCAGCCTATGCTGCTTTCCATGGTGGTAATTACAGTATTGACCGAGCCTATAAAGCTTTCATCACAACAACAAACTTCAACTTAGTACGTTCATTTCTGAGGAAATTAAAATACTAAAATTTCAGAACGGAACCATCTACCCGAAAGCGCACTGGTTACACTGGGGGACACGTTGGTTAGCCGGTCACCACACAGATGCGTCCTACAGCGGAAACATATCTGCAGAAAGTGTGTCTGGGCTTTTAGTTGATACCTGTGTCGTTAGTATAGTAAATCTTGTGAAATGTGTATACTACCTGACGCTCGTCGGCGGATTATGAATATTACCGGTTATCTCCCCGTTGCTGAGCGATTCCGGCCAAAATATTCATACCAACATTCTAAATGAACTTAGAAAGCCTCCTCGCAAGTCATGTACTCCAAGTTAACGCATAGACGTCTGTATGATTGAAAAAATGAAATTAAAATTTGTTTCAGGCAAAATTTTTAATTGACGAAACGTGATGAGTAGGAAATGGTTGTGTCTAACCGAGGACGCCTTTGTTATTGATCGTTTTTTGGTACCCTGCCACTTCTTATTTTTTAGGTCTGGCGAAATTCGCATTATTTGGTCTATTTTTCCAATTAAGTTGCTATTTTTTCAGTGTTCTCAAATTCAGGGTATAATATGCGCCTGAAAGTAATGCTTCCTTGTTGGCCTCTGCTCATGCCCAACCTAAATGACCTCGATAACCGTAGGCTGTTATCGTCTTACGCTTAGATATCTCTAACTGCTTATCTAAATAGCACAAATTACTCTATGTCACGGGCAAGAGTTAGAGCAGCGAAAGACCGCGAAAAATCTTCGCGGGACTGTATTGAGCTGGGTTTATGGCTGGCCATCTCTGTCTCTCCCTGAGATCAACACTAGATTACAAGCATAAACTTCATTAACAGACAGTCTAGTTGTCTTTTTTAAATGGTCTAATGTAACTTTGTACCGTTATCACAAAAAGTACAAACAGTCGCAGTTACGGGCAGGTCGGTGAAATCTACTCGAAATTTGTTCCTGAAGAGACAGTTGTCAAACACCGCCATCTTTCTCTTGTGTTCCACAAATGTACATGTAGACAGACCGGACTAGTGTCCGATATATGCGTATTTTTTAAGTGATAAAAATAGGCCATCAATACCATGACAGCCTCATAGGGATTATTAAAAAATCAAGAGTCCCGTCGATTTGGGAGGCTGTATAGGCCCTATTCAGTTTGCTTGGCAGCAAAGTCGCCCCACAATATTTAGAACTGTCTGCTCCGATGTACTTAGAGCTATTCATCCCTAGGAATGTGCTCTGATGACAAGAGATATAACTCTAGAACACCGGTCTCCTAAGCGTCGATTGGTAGCTCAACTGATCTATCGGAGACATTCGCTCGTCACACTACATCACGTAGATCGCAGTGCCTTGGTACCAGAAGAGGGAATTTTGGGGAATTACGTCTATGGCGTGCTTAAACAGCTTGGCTGACAGAATGTAGACCTATCGAACGCCAATCCGAATATCGAGCTTTTGGAAGAGATTGTCGTGAGCCGTAACTCGTGCAGCGTTGGAGCGATGGTAGGCCCTGATCATGACAATAATTGTTTATTTCTGTTATTCCCTTCGGCGACTAATGGTGGACGGGATGGAATTCTGCAGCAAAGTTAATTGGCGGCAGCCATGTGGAGTTTAAGGATGCGCGACAATGTGACTGTTTGGCCAGTACACCGAGGTCCAACTGGAAAGCAGGCTTTAGTGAGTCTCGTACTATATCCGCGTTCTTTTCGACCATACTTCGGGTATTAAAGACGTGCACACGATCCCATGCTTACCAATTCCTCAAATGTGCATAAGAGGCCATTTTCACTTAACAGACTGTGGTTATCAATGACAAGTTATTATTGAAATGGCAGGTTGCCTAATAGATTGACAAACTTTCACTGTTGAAAATAGGGGGAACTGTGGTGGTCCGGTCGTCAAAGTTGGAACTAGGCCCGAAATGTCCCCATCGGCGCTCAAAATCTGTCGACTAGTCCCAGAAGAACCGCTGCTCTTGACTAAACAGGTCGTCGGAGTGGTGACCGTAGAACTGTTCAGGGTAGAAGGTCTTTTGTAACGGAGTATCTCAGCACTGAGGATCCGAAATTGCTTTGACCAAAATATGGCAGAATTCTTCGGAATCGCCGAGTATAATATCGACTAGATGGGGTTACTCTCTACATACAGGTAGTTTTTGTTGACATCTATTCGAATATGATCCTTGGAAAGCCTTGGCGAGCCGCCAGAGGGGAGTGACATTTATGCAACCTAAGAAGATCATTGAATCACATTGACGCCGTCCCTCGAGTCATGGTCTTACATCCCTCAACCAGTCCTGGTTGACTTAAGTTTACCATTATATAAGTACCATAGTAATTTCAGATGTCAGGAGTTGCATGGGGCATAAGACTGCAAACTAGTTAAATCATTTCTCATTTAGTAGTAGTCTATGTTGTTCGCTACGTCCATCATACGCCATTTTCTTCCTGGCTTGAGAAAAAAATCCTTATTGAGCTTGAGTTCCCTGAGCATGTTTTTCAGCTTTGGCAAGTATCTTAAGTGACACATGAGAAATAACATCTGTTGCAGCACGCTGTTAGACAAAATTATTTGGCCCATCAGTTGGCGACTTCTGACTAAGGACTAAATCTATCGCTTGCAATCTGCTGTGTTGAGTGAGTTTCATGCGGTAACACACGCATTCGTTTTTCCGCCAGCTCCTCCAAGTACAACCTATATACAGTAGATGTGCTAACTCATGAAATGTCAAACAAAATTTCGAAACGCGTTCTCTTTTCGAAAAGATAAATTAAGTACTGTTGTAAAACTAATCATGATGCAGCATAAATCTATAATAATCCAGTAACCTCAGTGTGTCGGCTTTTGAAAGAACTTATTCTCGGCTGCATGCAAGATCCATACCCTGTGAAAAATGGCTACTTCAGTAGTATGCAATTTTCTCATTGATTTTCGTTGCCCTTGAAAATTCAATTATATTTCATGGAAAACAGGCATAAAAATATTCATAAAAATAAATATTACTTATTCGGTAGAATATCACGTCTTCTTCCAATTTCATACTCAAAAGAAGAGTATAATTCGGTTTTAAAAAGTTTCCAATTAAGGGATATTTTAATACCGTTAAATGGCCGTTCATGAAACGTCATGTATTTGCATTTACGAATGTGGCTTGTAAAGTTAACAATATTGCTCAAATCCACTGCTTAATTTTATGAACCTCATATGGTCTCCTCTTAACACCGTAGAGAAATGCATGGT